GTCCTTTTTATGTAAATATGGAGAGCTCTCCTTATATCTAAGGTATGCCAAAGTTTCTCTCTAGGGTGAGATGGATTTGGACAAAAAGTTTGTAAAACAAGTTCTTGCGCCCTATGAAAATGGGAACTGACTTTTGGTATAAAGGTAGGATCCAATCATAAAACAACTTGATTGGTGTGAAAAATACAGATATCAGGTCTTATTGACAGAGCTGCAAGCTCAGATATCCTTCTGACAGACGTAATTGCCACTAGAAAAATTACTTTATACGATAAGTACTGTAGGCTGACAGTTCTCAAAGGCTCAAAAGGTGAAAGCATAAGGTCTTGCAGGACCTTGGTAAGGTCCCATGATGGAAATCTATGAATGACCCCTGGTCTTAAATTAGCTGCCCCTTTAAGAAACACTGAATTAAATGCTTTTGTGACAATAAATCTGAACTTGTACATGAAGGTACCAATGAGAGCGCTGCAACCTGTCTACGGAGAGTAGCTGGGGCAAGACCCTTGTCCAATCCTTGTTGTAAAATATCTAAAACCTGGGAGATCGAAGCCTCTCCAGGATCTGAACCCTTATCCTTGAACCAATTACAGAAAACTCCAAGTAGTCTCAAAATCCTAATAGTGGATTGTCTTCTATCTGCCTGTATAGTGTTAATAACCTGTGTGGAAAGATCCACCTTTTTTAACAGTCTCCTTTCAAGTGCCAGGCGGCCAAGTGAAGCCACTGAGGCTCTGGATATTGAATTGGCCCCTGGCTGAGAGACACCCTTTCGGGAGGAATCCTCCACGTACATGACACTGACAAACTGACCAAGTCTACAAACCATGGCCTCCTGGGCCAATACGGTGCTACAAGAAGAATCTCCGCTTTCTGCTATAAGATCTTCCTGATGACTGCCGAGATGAGAGGTAATGGAAGGAAGGCATAATGGAGTTACTTTGATCACTGACAGCGAAGAGCATTGACTCCCTCCGATCCCTGGGACAGTAACCTGGAGAAGAAAACAAGGCAGTTGATGATTCAACTCAGATGCAAACAGATTCAATATTGGGTGACCAAATCTGTTGGAAATTTATTGAAAAAGTGGATGCAAAGTCCACCCTGCCTGATCTATTGTAGATCTGCTTAGCCAATCTGCCCTGACATTTTGTGTTCCTGAAATATGTTCAGCTTTGATTGAGAGCAAATTTTTCTCTGCCCATCTGCAGAGACAGGAAGCTTCTTTTTGTAATGACTTTGACTGTGTTCCTCCCTGACGATTAATGTGCGCCTTAGTGGCCACATTGCCTGTTAGAATTATCACATCTTGTCCCCTGATTATTGCCTCAAATTCCTTGAGAGCTAGGTGGACTACTCTTAATTTTAACCAACTGATATTATGCTTGATGTCATTAGCAATCCAAATGTCCTGTGCTACCTTATCTCAACAGTGGGCCCTCCATCCAGAGAGACTAGCATCGGTAGTTAATGTTGTAAACTCCCTGTCTTTAAAGGAGCATCCTTTATCTAATACTGAAGAGGTCCACCAAAGCAAGGACATTAACACCTTGGTTCGCAATCGGACTCGGATGGGAGCGATACCTTTCATGGATCTCTGAAAAGGTAATAAGAACAACTGCAATTCACGAGAATGCAGTCATGCCCATGGCACTATATCAAGGCAGGACATCATTTTGCCTAATAATTTTGACATTTGTGCTGGGGATGTCCTTCTTATGCAAAAGAAATGGGCTGCTAATGCTTTAATGTCCTCTCTTCTTTGTTGAGAAAGGAAAACTAAATCTGATTCAGTATCTATTATTGCCCCTAAATGTAAATGTTTGGTAGATGGTTCAAACTGACTCTTTTCCTGATTAGACGAAAATCCATGAGATTGTAAGGTTTGTAGGGTGATGGTTAAGTCTCTAATAGCTAACTCATGGGGGACTGATTGTATTAAGATATTGTCCAAGTAGGCCAGTATCCTAATTGGAACATTTCTAAGATAGACTGTTACAGCCGCCAGGATTTTGATAAATGCCCTGGGTGCTCAAAGGGGAGTACTCTATACTGAAAATGTCGACCTGCGTAACAAATTCTTAAATACTTGCGGCGGTCAGGTAAGATTGGAATATGCAAATACTCTTTGGTAAGGTCAATTGAAACTAAATAGACCCCATGTCTCACTTTCTTCAAAATAGATCGAAGCGTGTGCATCTTGAACCTACGATAAATAACAAAATAGTTTAGTCTTTTCAGGTTTAAAATAGCCCTTCATCCCCCTGATGATTTGGGAACAAGAAATAACATAGAGTAGAAGCCTTGGCCCTATTGCTCCTCTGGGACTGCTTCCACAGCTTGGATTGTTAGAAGGTGCTGAATTGCCTCCTCCATCTATCGCCTTTTGTGTATGTTTGAAGATACTGGACACCTGATAAAAAATCTTGGGGGCCTGGCTCGAAATTCAAATGCCAGACCTTTCCTTGCTGTCTGTCTGAGCCAAAGATCTGAGGTTGTTTTCTCCCATTGGTCTGCAAAACTTTGTAATCTACCACCAACAGGAGTTTACAAGTGCCTATTTGTATTTTCAGAACGGCCCGTTTGATGAACCACGGAATGACTGTTTGGTCTGTGGTTGAGATCTTGCCTTGTAGTTGTTCCCTTGAGCCTGTTGAAAATGTTACCTCTGGCCGAAGTTTGCTTGATTTCTTTGGCTGGTAGACATTTATCCCATGATTCGATGAGAACGGGATCTAAGGGTGCCCCAAATAGCTTTCCAGCTTTGTACGGTGCGGATGCCAGCTTCCATTTCTTCTTGGTGTCGGCCTGCCAATACCTGAGCCAGATTAACCTGTGTGCAGCAATCGCTGTAAAACATGGCCCATGATGCGAATTTGACAGAGTTCAAAGCTTCGTCTGCCATATATTCTGATGCAGCTTTAACTTTGTTAAAGTCTAAGCGGGCTCTTATATTGTCTGTGGTATGTGCTGCTGCATTTGTCTTAGCCATATCACAGCAGCCCTAGAGAAAAAGGAAGCCGCTGTGGCAGTTTTGACTGCCCATGCAGCTGCATGGTGTGTCTTTCACCACATTAAATTAGCCTTTTTGTCCTCTCCTTTTAGGACATCATCTTCATCATTGAGATTAGTTGAAGAATATGCTAAAGCTAGCACTGGGTCATCAACCCCAGGGAGCTGCAAAGTTGCTGCTAATGGTGTGTCAAAGACCGTTACCCCAGGCCCCGAACTGGGGACATCTAGCTGTCTCTGCACCATATTAAAGAATATTTTGTAGGAAGGGAAAACCTCCGCTTCCACTTTTGGGTCCAGGAAAAGAGTTTCATTGCCCCGTTTGTGAGTAATACAAGGTGTCTCTTTGTTCAATTCTGGGGCAGTTGAGCTCTTGGCCTTGGCTAATAATTCTTTAAATAAATGTGGTTTAAACAGGCCTTTGGTATCAGATATCTCTGTTTCTATCTCTTCTACAGAAAGAGATTCTATTTCGCCTTCCTCTACTGAATACTCAGATTGTTTATCCTCTGAAATATCAGGAGACCATGTTTTGGTCATAAGTGTTCGTCTAAGGGAGTGGGAATGCCTCCTATGGTGGGAGGGACCTACTCTAGAGTCTGCCTGATTTGGACTGTCATTCCGACCAATAAGTTACGTAAAACACTGCTGAACCACAAGCGGCATTAACTGCCCTCCTGTTTCAGTGTGTTGCATTTGTTCTTCTGAATTCTCCTATCTCTGCCGAGACTGAATAGAAGAACTGGTGGCCCGGAAGGGGTGTGTCTTCAGATTTTCTATTCAGTCTATAGCCAAACAGAGCTGAATACATGCATGGATCCTGTCAAAACCATTCTGGAGAACAAGAAGTTTTTCTTGCTGGGATTTAGACTGTAAGTCCGTTCTGGCTTGGCTTTTTGGCTGCCTCTGGGGAATTGTATTTATCCAGGGCTCAGAAAGCTGAGTGGGGATGGCTGTGTTCCAGCTTGGCTCTCTAATTGCCTCCTGGCTCTTTAAATGCCTCCTGGTATTTGCGCTCCACCGGGGCTCAAACATTACGGTCTTTGGGGAAGTTGCAGGAGATTGTCCAATGGGCTCTACCTCTGGAATATTGCCCGGCCCTGCCACCGGGGAATTGCGCTTCACAGGGGCTCGGGGATGGAAGGCTATGGCTGCTGGGGAAGGAGCTTGCCAAGGCTGTTTTACTGGGGTTGGCTGTGGGGGAATCTCGGGCTCCCAAGGGATCTTGGTTGCTCACGGGAGCTTCAGCGCATGATTTCAGGCAACTTCTGGTGGAGGTTCTAAAATGATCTAAAAGGTGATAAGCTCTCCAGGAGCAAGAACCTCACCATCCTTGTTGGCACCAGCTTGGGCGGGTGTCAAGGAACGGGTTGATGTCTTTGTTAGTATTCATCAGTTGTATTTTTTCTTATGAATATTTTGATGCTGCAAATTGCCATGTCATCTTTTCAGACTATGGACACCAAGAGATAAAGTAAATGTATATATAATTAAATGTTACTGATTTGTTTAATATAGTGCATAAATTCTGAGCCCTTCTGTGTATTCAGTACATTTCCAAATTGAGAAATAACAATGACTTGTACTTGGTTAAAACAATACTGTACATAAGGTTCCGCCTCTTTCTTTCTCGGTATTTCCCCTCCCCCCACCTCTAAACTAGTCACTGCCACAAACTCCGAGCACCAAAGTAATCCCACAATGAGTGCCTCAGTATACTGCCCTACCAGAAGGAAAACTATTTTTTTCTGATATAGGAATTAATTTAAATATTTTTTAATTTTGTAGCTCTATTCTTTTAATGCGTTGTTCTGTTGTTCTTACTTCATCTTCACAAAGAAACATACCGGCACAATAATAGGCTACTAAATAGATCTCGCCTTCCCTAAATGACGAGATGCCAATAATAGAAGGCCAAGTTCCGAAGAAAGAGCATAAAAGCGAGGGCATATGCGCGCGCAACTCGTTCATGTGCAGCCTTGCCGGAAGTGCGTCACAAAGATGGTCTTTCAATCTGCGTGGGACCAGGCGTGAGAACGAAAGGATGATTTAGAAAAGGGGACAGACCACGATTTCGCGCAAGCGCAAGAAAAGCGCTAGAGGCTCTTTGTCCTGCGAGTTGTTCAAAAGAAGCGACGCTGGTAAATTGAGTTTGGCTGAGCGAGTGGGGCTGCGTGGAGGTGCGCACGCGCCTAAAAGAGAAGATAAAAGGCGGGTTTTCCGTCGGGTGACTGGCGTCTCTGGCGTGTGGATGGTTAACGGTGGTTGGAATTGGACGCAACTTCCAGAGGACGGAGAGTGGAGGAGAACCAATGAAACAGCTCTTTGATTTCGTTCTTGGTATTATTTGGACTCAGCCTCGGTTGCTATTGCTTACTGCGGTGAGAAGTGGTGAGGTGGCCTGCGGCGCTTGAAGTCTATTTGGCCCGCCGTGAGGGAGCGCTCCTAGCGTTCTATCTGCTGTCTCCACCGTTCCTGCTGTAGATCTTCATTGAAGGGTTTCTGTAAAAGCAAGACCCTAGAAGATAATCGTCACCCTCACTTACTCCTCTAACTAAACTTTTTCTAGTTGTAGAGCAGTGGTTCTCAACCTGTGGGTCGCATATTTTCGATGGTCTTAGGAATCGAGCCATAATTTTATGGTTGGAGGTCACCACAACATGAGGAACTGTATTAAAGGGTCGTGGCATTGAAGGTTGTAGAGTATTTTCTTCCCCCAGAGCTTGCATTACAATCCCTGGATACTTTATACGGAACTTGTGTGCTTCGGCTCCTGATAACTTAATGTTTGTTCCTCAAAGACTGGTGAAGAAAGGAAAACGACATTCCTCCACCCTACTACTGATGGGCAGAAAACTTTCCTTAATCTGTTTTATTACAATTTATTGAGAAATTGTGATCCCTTCCATCATACATTAGAAACAGAATTACCAAGACCAAGAAAGTTTGGGTCTAATATACAATGGAGCATGGGAAAATGGATTATTTCTGTGAACAAGTACAACAAAAAGATGCGGGCCGCAGATTTCAAATTGGCCAGGAATTTCTGGATTATTTGAATGATCCCAGCATTTCTACTGATCTTGAGCAGGATCAGCAGCACCTTGATAAAGTAATCAATGAATTAACAGGATGGGTTAACTCTAGTAATTATAAGGTAATAATTGTGCCTGATATAGATGTATTTCTGATTCTTGTTAGGTATTGTAGTGTTGCTCTTTCACTAAGCGTTGTCGGTGAAGCTAATTGTTCAGATTGTTCAGTTTTATCCTTTTACTTTGTAAAAATTCAGTTTTGTTTAACTCACTAACACACTCAGATGTGTACATTCAATAGACAAGAATAAATATAACAGGTAAAATAATCCTAATATGTAAATAGGTCATACAGTGAATGTATGACTACAGTATTGGAGCCTGTCCAATAAGCCATGATGGTTATTCTGATTTTATGACCTTTTTTCCAGCAATAATTAAGAGAACCATTAGTATGCAGTTGGTTTACAGGTCATACAAGCTGCAAGTAGCTGTAAATGTAGCCCTTTTACCAATTTGATCACATGACTATGAGGGGCTTCAAGTATCAGAATTTCAATCCAGGTGATAAGTAGCCTCAGGTAAATCTGTAATAACTTCAGATGGCTGCTAAGTAATAACTTGAGGATTACTTATATTACGTTCATTTTCATTATGGACTGGCTATAAAAACTGCATGTTGTCATGTTAGAATTATAATCTTTGTATATACTGTACTTAAGACCCTACTCAAACTTGGTAGAATTTGCAATCCATTAAACCAGATACAAGCTAAGTACAATGTAGTTACCTGGGGATATAGTGTTTACACAGGAGTCAGATATTTGTTTAATAAAGATTTTTCATTTCTTAAGGAAGTCACTTTAATAGCTTTAATATATTCCCATTAAAACAAATAACAAAAAATATTTTAAATAATATTAGATTCCATTTTGTGTTGTAGAAAATTCAAAATGACTCATACCTCAGATTTTTTAAGTAGATTTTTCTTGATTGCCAGAATGAAAGTATGGAGTTGGACACATTTAAAAAAGAGCCCTGAGATTTATCATAGAAAGCTCCAGCATATTATTGTATTGCTAGTAATAGAATATCTAGTTCAGTAGTATTGAGTGCTGTCTTTTTGTTTACATTTTTGTCATTTGGTGGCAGTATTGCTGTACAGTTCAGGTTTCTGTTGATTCCAAGAATACTCCAGAGATTAAATTACATGTATATCATATATATCACATAGTGAAAAATTGATTCAAATTTTGAATATTATTAGACATTTTGCAAATAAATGTAATGGTAACCTAGTTGGTGTTGTAAATACATAAATGAAAAAGACATTCTCAATCTATTTTAATATTTAAAATACTTTATTTGAAATAACTATTTCCCAGTTCTGTATCTTATTACTGTTAATTGGCTTTTTGAAAGTCAAATTGTGAAATATTAATTTAGCAGACAGCAATGCAGCAAACTTTAATTACAATAATGAAATTCTTGTGTTTACATAATGTTACCATAATGTAGATAACATAAAGATAACATAAAGTGATGCAAATAACATGATTTGTGTCATTTGTTTAGTGCCATTATGGATGATATTACCATTTCAGTTTCAAATTCATTGTGAATATTTAAAACTGTTGACTTATATTAATAGATAAATATGTGTAACATTATGTAGCCTTAATGTGAAATAAACAATCATTTAGCTCTAAAGACAGATATCTTGGTATATGACATAGTGGAGTGGCAGAACCTGTGGGTGGGAGGGATCAGCCTAGAATCTCTATATAGCCACAAGCAAACGTTCAGTGCCCCCTTTAATACAGTTGACCCTTATCTAATTCTTAGCAGGTGCTAAATGTTAAATTTCTTATGGCTATTTAGAGATATTAGGCTAATCCATGTTTTAATTTGGCTTTTATAGGAGCTATTATTCATTTTAACAGTTTTAAATTACTAGCTGTGAGAGCACAGTGGCTCACATGTTTAGGACGCTGGGTCACTCGCTCCTGCCAATCCAGCAATTTGAAAATGGGCAAATGCAACTAGATAGATGGGTATCATTTCAGTGGACAACTTAAAATACAAAAGAGTCCACAACAGAGAGTCTCCTGGGTAGTGGTAATGTCACTGGCTGATCCTTTTATCATGGAACTACTTTGGTGTTTTTGACAGGGAAATATAATTATTAGTTTAATGATAATTACCAGCTTAAAGAGAAAGATAAGCATCCCTTAAAATGTTTGTCATGTTGGAATCACGAATAGTGAAGAATTCTAAAATACAGATAACTCAACATCTGTTGTCTTGCCTCTACTTTTAAACACAGACATCTATTTGTGGGAGCTAACATATTTTAAGTAACTAAGTCACAAATTGGACGTGGTGGACTTTTTTGCTCTCTGCTCATTTCAGAGGTTTGCTTAATGTTCTTCCATCATTATTGTTTTACATGAAAATATCCCAGTTGTATTGCCTGCAAATGTAATTTTTCCAGAAGCTCTGCGCTTAGAAGCAGAGAAAGATAGTTGTATTGAGAGTTATGTTTGGAGATACCATAACTAGACAATTAGTAAGGATAGTTCTGGATGGAAAACATCACTTCAGAATATTTCATTTCTAGAATAGATGTTAATTGTCTAATATTGTGATTGAATTTTGCCTTCATGTTATTAATGCCCTCTGGCCCATATGATGAAAGGGGGGATTCAACCTGGCACTTGGCTTTCACTCTATTCCTCACTTATTAATTTTATGCATTCAAATTAAGTTAATTGATTCTTCACAATTTTTCCCATTATTCTTTTATAATGATCATTTTTATTCATCTTTTTATGATAATTTTAATTAATTTTCAAAGTACCATTTCTGTTTATTTCTAATGTGTTATTTTAATTTTCCATCATCCAATTCTGATTTTTTTATCACAACAAAACTGGCTTTTAATGTTTGCTATCTATTAGAACTGCAGTTAAAATTACCACTTTTCTTAAACTACTGAATTTAAAGACTTCTATCAAATCCTGATATTCTTTGATCTTGTAACAGTTAATTTGTTTCTGATATTAGATTCTCTTTATGTCTTTTTCAGATTAGTCATGTTTAGTTTTTTTATAGAAGAATACTCATTTTCTAATTCCCTCTTCTTTCCTATGAATTCTTTCTGGGCTCCAAACTTGTACACTTTTAATATATATGTACATTTGCTGCTAGTTCCTTGTATAGTATATGTGTATGTAATATTTTCTAAAATACCTGTAATATTTCTTAGGAATAGTGTATGTACACACACACACACACACACACATGTTTAGAGCCCAGAAGGAATTAAAAGGAGAGGAGAGAGAATTAGAAAATAAGAATAGTGGGTGCTTGGATTATATGTAACCATATAGTAAAGCAAAGGGATATAAAAAGCAAAATATAAAACCAAAAGATGTAGAATTTTTATATGATATGTTACTTTTTGCAGTTAACCTGATGAATATTGTACAAAATTGGGAATAAGCATTCTTAATATTTTACAGCTATTATGAATTACCTGTACTACCTGTATATGTCTTCAATGTAATGAAAATATTGTCTTCCTAGCTGCAATCTATAAATTCCCTGTCTTCCTTCAAAGCAAATCGATATTCTAATGAGTCGTATTCCCAGGAAAAATACTATGTTTTGAATGCCAACCTGATTACAGTAATAAATTACAGTAATAAATATTAATTATAACAAAATGTAAAACAAAAAAAATTATTTTTGAGGAAAAGCTATTAATAATACTGGTTGCCCTATTAAATGCTAACATTTGAATTTTATTTACAAGTTTAGAATTCTAAGCTATCACTCTACCAAAAGAATACATGCACATATATTTTGTGACCTTGTTAACATTTAAGATTCCATATGATAGATTAAGGACAATAATCTAATGAAGGCAGTGAGTGTACAATATTTGCCAGATCCAAATTAAACATAATGTTCGAATATAAAATATTAATTTATAAAAGTATTTTTTTAAACCTGAATATCAAAACTTGTTGCAGTTTGAAATAAAAAAAATGAAAAAGTGATTAATGAAACTCTACTGAGTTGACTTTGATCTAAACCAATTCCAGCATGTTGTTATAATTTAATTAATTTCTCTATGTGAAACTAGAATCAAAGTGGTGCCAAATGTTTCTTTAAAAACATGTTTTTAAGCATGTAGTACTAATAGTCCTCAACTTACAGTCATTTGTTTAGTAATTGTTCAAAGTTATGGCACTGAAAAAAGTGACTGATACCATTGCAGCACCCACAGTCACATGATTAAACTTTGGGCTCTCGCCAACTGACGCAGATTGTACAATGACGATTGCAGTGTCCTGGGATGTGTAATCACAATTTTCTGACAAGAAAAGTCAATGGGGGAAGCCACAGATTCACTTAACTGTGTTACTAGCTTAACAACTACAATGATTCATTTATCAAATGTGGTAAGAAAGGTCATACGATGGGGCAAAACTCATTTAACCACTGTCTTGCTTAGCAATTTTGGGCTCAATTATAGTTGTAAGTCGAGGACTACCTGTACAAGACTAGCAGTATTAACAGATTCTCATTCTCAAATCTATATAGTTGCCTTAAATAATTGGGTGATTATCACAGTATCTTTTTAATTCTTTAAATATGTTTCCATAGGTATCACTACTTGGATTAGAACTCCTAGGTGCCTTTGGTGAAAGACTATTAGGACGTTTCAGAACCTATGTAGGAACTGGTAAGTTTTTTTTACACTTTCTATAAAAAAACAAGTTTTATCTTTTCCTCAATATTTATTTAACTATGGCTGTACATTACAAATTTATAACAATGGAGACGGTACAGCGATAGATTTATATATAGAATACAGCTATTGCTGACTTATGACTACTTGTTGAAGACTAAAATTACAATTATGGGTACTTTTCAGCCTTGAGTGTAAGGGCACTTCTGACGACAACATAACATTGCACTGTGTCTTCCAGACATCATGGGATTGTGATTTTCCTGGTAACCTGTTTGTATTTATGACTGGTTGCCAATTGCTCTGTGATCATGTGATCACCATTTACAATCTTAGCTAGTTTCTCAATGGCAAAGCTGGCAGGGAAGGTTGTGAGTTCTTACTGCCTGCAGAGAGGACACTCATCTCTGGAGTCTGATGAAAAGATCTGCCTTCAAGGGGAATTTAAGGTCTTCAGCAGGGTAGAGAAGTCTTTCGGTTCAATCCAGTACAGCATAACCAACACACTGTGAAAAGGATAATACTGCCATACATAAAAAAAATATATCTCAGAAACTACCATCAGACTATTACAACCACATGGCATCAGCGTAGTATAGAAATCAACTAAAGCCCTCCAAAATACCCTAAGTAAACCAATAGATCCAGCAGCTCAAGAAGAAAAAAGCGACACCTACAGCATACAAGGTAAGGATTGCAACCTCACTACATAGTACAAACAGGCAGAACACTAACAGAGCACACCCATGAACACTAACTATTAACCAGAAGATGTGATGAAAGCTCCTTAATTTTACAACACATGGCCAGACTTAATCATACTTTCCACAGGAAAGTTGTGACCATCCTAAACCAAGTGAAATCAAACCAAAATGCTTCACTTCACATCAGTTTGGCCTGGCCTACGCTATCCCAGTGGGCGCATGGATGTGCAGGAGGCAGCTGGCACACACAGGCCCAGCCCACCCCATCACGGGCGCGTGGGTACACAGGAGGTGATGGGCCAGCATTGCCTCATCCATATCACACCTTTTGGCTGCTGCCACCACCTCATGGATCAGGGGATGCAGCCACCGCTGTCATCAGCAGCCCACTCCCCTCTGGCCACTACCCTGCGATTCTTGCCCACCCCAGCCTGCTCTGCAGGAAGCCACTCCAGCCGCAGCATCATGGCTACCTGGCGACTGCCCCCTCCTCACCACCCCCACCGCACCAGCCCTGCATCTGGGTGGCTAGCCAAGAGTTCCATTCTCTGGCCTTTGCCCTGCAATTCTTGCGGTCCATAGCCTATGCCCGGCAGTGGATGCTGCTTCAGCCACAGCCTCTGGGCTCCCTGATGACCACAGCATGTCCCATCTTGCTCTCTCAAGCAAGGGGCTACCACCTCTGCCAGGCGTGGAGCAGGCTGGGGAGCGCAAGAATCGTGGGGCAGCAGCTGGAGAGTCAGCCATCCAGGTAAAGAGCTGGCACGGTGGGGGAGGCAAGGAGAGGGCAGTCACTGGGCAACCCTGAGATTGTAGGGCCTTGCGGGTATGTGTGCATGGGGGGTGGTTTGTCCGGTAACGGGCTCCGCAGCTGGCCCTCCAGAAAGTTTCAGCCTGGCCCATTCTATCAGGAGTCAGTGACTGCACACGTGCACAGGCTAGCTCATGCCATCCTGGCTGGTGCGTGTGTACACAGAAGGCAGCCAGGATGGTGGCTGTGTGCTGACTTCTGTGTGCGAATGCACCTGCTGACTCCTGCATGCACATGCACTCATTGACTCCTACCCCTGCTACTGGCCCACAGAAGACAAATAGAATGCTGATCCGGCCCATGGAAAAATTGAGTTTGACACCCCTGCACTAGAGAATTCCTAAAAGGCACCCTGACAAATGAACTAGGAATATAGACATAAACAACATCTATATAGTATTCAAAAAAGACAATAAGCCAAAAAGTGGGGGGGAAAACCAGAGAGGGAAAAAAGATCACAACACCTCCTGACCAGTAATCAACAAATGAGCAGAAATTAACATAGTATTAACATTAGACCAGCAATCAAGCAGCAAACAGTACCCCAGTCAAGGAATTGGCAAACAGTAAACAACCCAACCAAAGAACAACCAACAGACCACTTCCACTAGCACTGATAGGACAAGTCACTAGTATATAACATGAGAGGAAACCTCTCTCGCTACTAGCACTGATGATGTCAATGCTAGGAGGGAGTGGGGTTTCCTCTGATTTTATATTCTATTTCAGGTAATGTAAACATCTGCAGGAAACAACCAAGTTCAGAGAGCACCAAGGACCCCTAAGTTAAATGTGACATCAGACATTAAATCAGGCCAGTTAGGAACCATGAAGTTTGGTTTCATTCCAATTGGCTGCATAAATAAAGGTTTATCAAATGCACTGTCCCCAGCAAAAGCTCATAGGTTATCCAAGGATATTCCAGTAATCGTGATGATTCAGTCCTTCCTCATCTTCTATTTCCCAGAACCTTTCCAAACCTATTTATTTTCTAGTCTGTCTTATATACCCTCTGTATCTGAGTTTCTTGTTTCTTAAGGTTGTTAAGTGTCAAGGGTATTTGATTGATTATTCTTTTAGCTCACCTTTGCAATGGTCTAACTAAGAATATTGGGCAATGTTGCATTTGTGATTGTAATATTAAGGACTGAGATCCCTCTGGCAGGCAGGCCTCTAGCTCTCAAGAGCTGTCTGCTGAAAAGACTCGGTTGCATATGGACCAAAACTCTGATAGGCAACCTTTTCACTCTAGATTGGGTCCCCCATTAGTAGACTGTGAGCCATTCAGCACCAAGTTACGGAAGTGGTAGGCAAGCACGCATGTAAGCACATCCTTACTGGTGGGAGCAGCGGGTGAGCCTGTGCATGTACGCTCCATTTGCACTAGTGGTAGACATGCATGCCTGCTGTTTGTATAAATAACGTCACACGTGCGCATGACTACCATTCACGCGGATCCATCCTCTTTTCTCCCCTGCCAGTCCACAAAGCCGGAAAGGTTGGGGAACTCTGCTCTAGATGATGCATCTTTATGTACAACTTTACAGAAACAAGAAATCCTAGACAATGTCTCTCTATAGGATTTACAAAGTAGACTTGTGAAAGATTTGAAGATTTTTAAAAAAACACCAAACAGCGATGGAAGATCAAATCTTGCGATGCCATAGGAATTGTTAAAGGTCAATACTGTCCAGAGCAAAAAGACATACTGTAATACAAACTTGGACTATTGATCAGGGATAAACTATTTGTTTGATATTTCTGGTAACTTCTAACAGAATTTTTCTGAACTAGATTGAAAATATAATGATTTATGAATTACATATAGATAAAAGCTAGGTAGTGGGAGAAAATGCTTTTCTATGTGTTACTTTAAAACAGTGATCCCCAACCTTTTTTACGCTGCGGCCCGGTATCTCCAACCTTTTTTATGGCGCGGCCCGGTACCGACATCAGCTGGGCGCCGCCATCTTGCTTTGATGAAAAAGTGCTTCCGGTGAGCTCACCGGAAGCACTTTTTCATCAAAACAAGATGGCGGTGCCCAGCAC